GCTTGCAGCTGAGAGATCTGCTCTTTTTGACTTTTAATCTACCACAACAAATTTAGCAAAATATTTGTTAATTAGTTGTCTTCGATTTCGGTTTTCAGTTGATGAAACTACCAATGCTCCATTCTCGAAATCAAAGCGAACAACCGCTGCTATATTTGACAACAAATTCTCTTGCGCAAATACCTTATAAAAAACTAAAGAAAGCACGAGAAAATGTCGATTTTACAATAGCCTTCAAAATTTGCATTTTCTTCGAGTTGAGACTAACCATGTATGAGACCTAGGGTTTAAGACTTCTGGGAATACAGAGTTATCCTCAAAACGAGAAAATGAAAATTGTTAGCGCTATTGTACTTATAACATTTTCAGGTACTTTCTTTTGTTTGGTAAAGTCTTTGCTGAAGAGATTCTGCTGTCAAAAAAACAGCGGTTATTCGCTTTGAACTCGAAATGCAGTGTTATCTCAAATGAGCTAGGATCATTCTTACCATATTTTCTGCTTTTATCGTTGCATTTGTCAGAAGGTTTATTCTTTTATCAAAGTTTTTCTGCATATCTTCTACAATTCTGCGATATCTGAAGGTTTAATTGATGCTAGAATAAATACAGCTATTTGTATACAGTTGTCACCAATATAAGCCGTCCGAGACCTGGATGAAGTGGATAAAGTTATCAATGGCATATATTTTCTTTGCAGGTAATCCGTTGGATAAGAATTGATCTAGTGGAATGCCGCAGTACATACATGCATTTTTCATAAGACAAATAGAGGATATTGCATGGGCGCACGGAGATACGGATTTTATCTTCGAATGTTGAAAAGATTTCTCACGAGTGAGCGTGTAATCTTTTTATCATATAATTACATGTAAAAGCAAATTATGTCGTAAAATACCTTTTTTTTTCTTAGGTCCACTATATATAGCGAAACCTCAAATGTGTTATTTTCACTAGTGAAAATATCAGTTTTACGAAATGGAGAAATATAGGTGGTATTTCATAGATAATTCTATTATTATAAGACAGATTAAGGGACAGGTTTTGTGTTTTAAGTCAAGTCGTTGGTCAATAGGCAGTATGCAGCAACGTCACTTCTAGAATAAAAAAATAATGAAAAGTTGAGAAAATCCTGAAAAGACTTCASAGTCTTTTCCTTACGTTAAGGAATTTGATTTCATTAGAGTAAAACGAAGATTTTACTGAAGACTTCAAGATTTCGAAGATTTCACTGTTTTTGTCTTATGTATGACAATAGAAAGATGTGGCGCAKGACATCGCCAATTGCATCGTGTAAAGCGTCTKTTTACGAAAAATGAATTATTAATTTGTTTAAAATAATAATAAGTAAAAAAAATGTTACACGACAAGTCAATTTGACTCTGTTTTTAATTACTACAAAACACAAAAGGCCGAAATCAAATAAGCTGTAGACCATTCGAGTAACACGGCTTTGGGGTTGGGAATGGATATGTTGGAGTAGGATTGATGGTCTCTAAAATAATATTGAGGGTTCGTTAAAGGCGATGGAGTGCTTTCAACGGCCCGTCGCAGTTCGCAGTTTGGAGTAGTCCGACACTGAATCATAAAAAAAAAACACGACGGTAAACACGACTCGTGAAATGATTTCACCAGACTCAAGAGCACCTTCCATCATTTCACGAGAATAAAAGCAGAGCTATGGCCACATAGCCACAGTTTCATTAGACAATGCAAGGTCGTTTTYAGTCTGGCAAAACAGATTTCACTTTTCATCAAATCTTACTTTTGATTGAGTCTTTCCATGTACAATGTGCTGAGGGTAAGGTTTTGTTCAAGGGCCTTTATTCTGTTGGTAAGGCGCATAAAAATAGATTCCTTCTGGGCCATACTGCTYGGTAGTCCTTGATTATTAACAGCACTACTGCTGGSTTTGCTCACCACTTCATCAACCAATGAAACTTCGATACTGCTAGGGGGGCTTAAAGAGTTGTCTAAAAGGACAGGRGGTGGAGGTAGAGGCTGAACAGAATCTTCCACCCYAGYCTTTACAGGGGGAGGAGCGGTAGGAGGCTCYTTTGGTTGGTCAATGGACGACTTAGAAACAWTRGCTTGTTGATCTGCCTTCGATGACTCAACCACAGAAACTGTAGAAATACTCAGTTCCTCGATTTYCGAGTTTTCAAGGTATGTCTTTTTGCTTTCAGAAACACTTTTGGAGTCTTTCTTTTCATCCTGTTCATCGCTATTTTTAT